CAGATTTGGCTCAAGAAACAGCGGCGCTCAGCAGCGCTCCTATCTAACGTGATTACTTCACACGCGTACCTTTCTTTACAGATTATTCAGCAAGTAGAGTAACAAGCTGCGTATATCATCTTTCCTCCTCTCCCTTTCTCTCTCTCTCTCTCTCTCTCTCTCTCTCTCTCTCTCTTTCTCTCTCTCTCTCTCTCTCTCTCTCTCCATCTTCCCCTTCTCTCTCCCCCTTTTCCTTTCAATCTCAACCTGCGCTCTCTCTCCCTCTTTTTCTTTCGTTTATGTTTTATTTCACTTTACTTGTGTACTCGGACTCGTACGCATATTAAAAAAATGTATTTTGTGATCTTCTGTATTATTCAGCGAGCAATATAGTTTAGCGAAATGAGTTGAATCGATTGCTTTCGCTAATTTTCAGTTCTGTGTATTGCCATAATATAATATAATATAATATAATTGCCATAATCCAACGATAATTTAAGACATCGTGTAATTTTTCTACAATGTTATTCACGGTATTCACGTTCTAATCCGTCGTCAATTAATGTTGTGTAAAAACGCGTTGCGCGCTCTAACGTTAATAAAAATATTCAAAAGTCGCTTTCCAGACAATTTAAACTGTAAAGAACGCGGCTTACATTTAGAGAATGAGGCAAATGCAAATCATAGTATGTGTATGCTCCCCAACGCGCGCTCTCTAGCGCAAGCGAGTGAGTACGTCTTTGTCTCTCTCTCGCGTGCTCTCTCTCTCTCTTTTTTTTCTCTCTTTTTCTCTCTCTCTCTCTCTCTCTCTATATATATATATATATATAATAGTAGACAATCTTTTTGCGATATTGATGAGCAACCAGAGACGTGAATATACCCTAGTCAGCCTAGGATAGCATGATTAATGAATCGTAGCATGCTGCACCACCGTGTGCGAAACTGCGACGATATGCTGCCATTATATTCATCGCCATATATCACTCCCTCTGCACAGTTTCCACAGTGCGCTCACGACGATTCGAATTTACTCTGTCCGCTGACGCTGACTTCGTCTCACGTGGTAGTAATTGTTTTTCCTCAGCAGACGTAGAGTGTCCACAGCAAGTTGATGGTATCCGACCGGCTTGTACCAGCGAGCGCATGCGGAGCAGCGTTAGGCATATTAGCCGGGCGTCTCCAGGGGAAAGGAGGGTCTCGCGCTCATGCGACAAATGATCTCTTAAACGATGTGTTAAATTGGAGAGGCGTGGAAAGGCGTCCATCTGTCCGTAATTTCACACTTTCTGAGTGTGTGTGTGTGTGTGTGTGTGTGTGTGTGTGTGTGTGTGTGTGTGTGCGCACGCGCGTGTGTGTTTATCGTAGTATTTATTCTGATTTATTCTCACACAATGCGAACAACTGCACATATTTATTGCCATTCAGGTAACCTATGTCGATCTACCAGGAAAATCTCGGCTAGATTCAACACCAGCCACCTGATTAAGCGTTTTCATTGTGTGCAGTTTGTTGAGCAAAATAAATTCTTACGTATCATGGAGGCAATCACGCGTCCACTGTCTGATAAAATTAGCACTAGGATAATGTGAGACCCCGTCACCACGCGCGCGCACAGCATTGTGCAACAGTTTCATAAATCGATGCGTTTCGTATCAGTCGTTAAAGTAATCATTGCTGAAACTAGTGCTGAGTATGGCTGAAACCGGTTTTCAGTGTCAGACGCGAATTGGGTTGCCCTCATTGACGGCACATCACGTGCGTTGCCTTGCGCGATGAAACGAATATAGTTATGTATCTGTTAACATAAGCGAGCATAGTTAGTAAAGCTATGATTAGGAGCGACAACTACAGTATGATATCAGGAGCTAATAGTGACAAATGTCAAATGTAAAATAAAAAATAATAAATAATAATAATAACTAATAAATAATAAAAAATAAATGAAAAAATAAATGTAAATGTAAAATAATGACAAATGTAAAATGGCAATGTGACATTTTACAAATGACATTTGTCATTATTAGCTCCTGATGATATTTATACAACTGAATTAATGGACACTGCCGATGTGTTTGCAATAATTAATATTTGGTGTTGGTTACCGCACGAAGTTACGTGTTTCTAATATCCTTTGTTGCAGTATTTCTTCGTCTCTTTGCTAACAGTAGAGCGCGCGTAAATCAACCTTCGCCGATAGCTTACCCATAGCTTAACCACGTCACCTACAGATAGGATGCTTGTGAAATAAATTAATTCGTCAATAGCACAATACCCTCGTCGAACGCACTTACGTTCTAACAAGCACGTAATAGGTTTGTGTATTGGATAAACAATCTCTTTGGCGCAAGCCTCCCCCCTGCGATGCGCTAATATTGGGGTAGTGTCCTCCGCGAAAAAGGACCGAGCATGCGCTCGCTATTTCATTCAGGCGTCGGTCTTTCTTTACTAACCTATTGCGGCAATAATTAGGCCCCTGTTTGTTGCATGCGTGCCAGCAAAAGGCTAGTGCTCTCCGCAGGACATCGCCGGGCAAGAAAGAGCGGCAGTATCGGCTTGCAGGGCTACAAACGAGCCGCCCCCGCTACCTGAAATGCACTAGTGCCGTCCGACCGGTCCCCCACCCGTTCGCCGTGCGTGAAACAAACCGTACTTAGCCGCTCATTCAGCGCCATCACGTTTGAGGCGTGCCGAATTCTAAGACGCCGAAAGATAGTGCCCGGGGACACACCGTCCCTCTCATCCCGCTCACATTGTCACCAGGGTTTTGTCAAGACAGCACTTGACTGATCCGTTCGATTGGCAGCATCTTGCGCGTACGCCCGCGATCAGTTAGTTAGGTATATACGGGCGGCGATTAATTCCACCCCCTAAATCTGGCCGCACAGGTTGGAACCCGCTAATGACGCCCGCCTCGTTACTGAGTATTTGTACGTACGGCTAGCCCTGATGTAATGGGCAGGATCAACTGATGCAAATAAGGAGATATCGGGCGGATCTATCGCACTGGAGTGAGGATAATCATGTTTATGAACTCCGTAACAAATTATCGTCGCTTGTCCACTGGGGCGTAAGGTTAAATCTTGCGCTATTGGGCTGGTAGAGGTAGGTGAGAGAAATGCTGCACAGTGGATAGAGCAATCCCAGCAAAAAACCTGGAAAGTTTTTCGGGTGCTTTACGCTTTGTCAGGTGCAGAGTCGAAATTGCATTCTAGCACTGCAGCGCGGGCCGACGTCCCAGGTTATTGAATGATGTGTGACGTTTAAAAACGTGGCGTCCCTCACAATTGGCAGTACAGTCATTCGCGGGTATTTATGTACGGTTTTGTATACCGCAGTCGGGCCATATATTATAATAGAAGCACAAACACCCGCTTTCTCCGCTGCCACATTAGTCAACATCTCGCTCCCACCGTTATATTTTCATAATAGAGAACATTAAACTCAACTTTATATTACACAGGGGTTGGATTTCATTTGCGAGCAGAACAAACATCGTTTCGCATTATTATGGAAATTTCAGTTTGACAAGCCAGGACGAACTGACTGAGGCTTTTCAAAGACGCGCAGTTCTCACCAGGCTGGCACGGCAGTGGCCTGTACAGCGTCAAAGAAATTATATGACCTCGGCTACTTCAACTGCAATTACCCACTAAATATAAGCACTCGGCTAAATAGAAGAACACGGTTCAAGCAAGAGAACTGGTCGTGCCGAGCGTGTCAAGTGCTAGCATCTAGTATTGTTGAATAGCTGGAGACAGCTAGGTATCTATCTGTCGTGATACTGCTAGCCATCCACCGAAATCCACAGAAAATTCATACGTCTTTCGACTCCGAAATTTACAGCAGCTGTGCGGGAGGAAAGATTGATGGGCGGTTAATTATTTGCTTTTAATTTTCGTCAAAATAATATTATGATTACTCTCTTTTACTAGGCGTTAAGTGAAATGCTATCATTTCTGCAAGCTAATTCGCCAAGAGACATCTTACTCATTATTGCTAATATTTCATTCATTGCTTGCATCGTTACAGCGTATCGCTCTAAATGCGGTTGTGACATTTTTCGTTTTTCATAAAAAAAAACTGCCAAACTATATTAATCTAAAACTTATTACGTTATTGCTAAGCAGCGGCGCATGCACGGCAGCATATAATCAGCAGCCCATAGCGCCTACATTGTAAGTAACATGTACGCTCACTCTGTTCCCACCCCATTCGCGAAACAACGCTAACCGCTTTTATATTCGCGCGTGGCAAGTCACTCCAAACCCCGCGAATTTCTACTTTCACGGATGAAAACAATCGTGAAGCTATCTACTACGACATTACTAGAAAACAACATGATTCGCCGCAGTCATGCCAAGTGAACTAGTGTATTTTATTGTTTGATTTACCAGCGCGCGAATGATCAGCCGAACGTTGTTGACGGCAGGGAAACCGAGTGTTGTTTTTAGCCGAGAAAAGGCGGGCGGTGATTGGTGGAAGCCGGTTGCGCATGAAAAGCCTCATTATCGTCTGCTCGCCTACATGACAGGCGAAGCTGAACAGCTGAACAGAGGTGATTTGTCGCCGCCTAGCCCTCGCGCGTGTGCTGTGTGTGCTATGCTCACTAGCCCAGTGGGATAATCACTTCTTTAACCCCGTGTCCATCGTTGGGTTATACACAACATCGCCATAAGCAGGGACTGTTGCATCTATAGTCGGTAAGGCACCGCAGCGCGATAACGAGTGTATCAACGGCCGGGAAAACCTAGCTACACAGGAGAGCAAGAGCCGAAGCGCGCACGAGAGAGAGAGAGAGAGAAAGAGAGAGAGAGAGAGAGAGAAAGAGAGAGAGAGAGAGAGTCATCATCGTAGTTGGGAGACACGGATCGTCACCATTGACAACAGGACAGGATCGTTCTCGAGACATCTGCAGGACTCAGTTGTCTCGCCAGTTCTCCGCCATTCCTCATACCCCTACTGGTCGTCGTGCAAAGGTAGGAACCGCGCTCTGCATTTCCTCACGTTGCCATTACGCGCCCGTAAACGCGCAGTCACGTAGCAGTGCCGAGTTGCGAGTAAAATATAGAATAGCTCAAGGCGTGCGGCCGGGCGGCGCGCGCGATCACGTCATTTTGAATCAGCGAAATTGTACAATGCCGCGTGCTGGAAGCTATACAGAACGATAAACGCTCGGGCGCGAATAAAAAACGCCGTGGCTATCCTTACGGAGACGTAAGAACGTTCATTTTTTCTATACTTACGGATCATATCCCATCATGCAAAGCGCCGCGGACAAGTGCCAAGTTGCCAACCATAATGCACTGCGATACGACTGGCATGGCTGCACTGATCTCTATAATA